TTATAGAAGCCGCCTCTATTAAGGGAGGCTCGTGGAAGTTGGGAGGCTTCAACATAACGAGGAGAACACGAGTCACACAGCACTCGACTCGGTGGAGGCCCATTCGGAACTGATGAAGCAAACATATCTTTTAGATATTTAAGATGCACACATTCCAACAAAGGTAGCCAGTTGTGGGTGTTGTATTGACGCCTTTCGGTTGGAACGAGCTATTATGCCATATAAATTCTCAGATCGAATCACCCAATACAAGATAATCTACTATATGACATTGGCAGTCGAGAGAACCTCTTGAGCCTTCGCGGACATGAGGGGCAAAGCTCTTTCGAGCAACTGGTCGTTAAAAAAGTTTAACTAGCTGATGTGAAAACTCTCCACGTCCCTCGCGCTGCTGATGACAACCACATCGCTCGAGCGAGGCGGTACTTGCAGGTCAGGCTGGTAGGGACGTCTTCATGAGCCGACTACCCATCACTTACCGACATCGGGTGCGCGTTTTACGTGCGCCGGCCTACTAGGACCAACATCGCAACGATGACGGAAATATAATTGAGAGCAGAAAGCTGCGACGCAAGATCCATTTTATCTACTAGCGCCGCTAATCCGCAAGTCGATCGAACCCATCACGGAGCTGAATTGATCAAATGGTATTTTCTGATCATGCTCAACTCTACATTGCCAATAGTTTGAATTAGTCGTTTGATTTTTCTAATTATTAACAAATAATTTTTGTTAATATTATGTAAAAAACGATTGACTGATGTTTAATTTTATAGATGATTCAAATATTCATCAATATTGAGTTATACGATCATGATATTCTATTTTAATTGAGAAGGCAATGTATTGAACGCATCGAACTCATTTTAGCGTTTTCTGATATATAGGTCCATGGCTTTAAAATAAACTAATATATCTTTAAAAAACATGAAAATATTCAGATGACACTATGAAGTTATAAATTATGTATATAAATTCAAATAATATTCTGGAGCTTATTATGTATATTATGATGCATTAGCGCGCCATCTTTTATCAAAATTCGAAACTATTAAATTTAAAATTTAATATTGGAGGTATTTCAAAATCTTTAAAATAACTTATACATACATTATGATCTGTAAAGAAAATGAAAAAATAGAGTAATGGATTACAAGAAAATGACAAAATAGATTTTTTTAAAATATCATACGCGTCTATAGTAGATTCGAATTTTGATTATGTATATTATTATATATTTATTTACCTTAATTTTTTCATGAAATCGTTCGTATATTGAGTTATAATTGAATTTCAAATAAAAAATATTCACAGAATTTCATTCTTCTATATAGATTCAGAAGAAAACTATATATTTAAAATTTAATATTGAAGGTATTTTTCAAAATCTTTAAGATAATTTATATCTTTATTATGATCTGTAAAAATTTGGAGTAATGGATTACAAGGAAATGATATAAAATAGATAAAGAAATCCATATTTCATAAAAGTTGGAGTGCGCGCTAATGCTTTTAGGAAATTTGCATAAGGTCGTAAATGTAGTTGGTCGATAGGGCTGGGAATGAACCAGCTGGCTGTGGCCACATTCTGTGGTGCAAATTTGGAACAACGTAATTGCCATTGTTGCATATTGCTATATTGAAGACTTCTGTTTATAAATATATATATATATATATATAATTAAATATAATTTATATGAAAGATAGAGTTGTATTAGAGTTGTATTACTACAACTATCTTTCATATAAATTATTTTTAATTCAACTTTATTGTTCAATAATAGCTTCCTATACTGATATTATACTCTCAATTCGATATCAAAATCTTCTATAACTTTCTTTAAATATTATAAAACCTTTACATATATATTTACATTTATATAAATCTCCTGGACCTTAATTAAATAATTTGAAAGATTTCTGGAGATGAGTTTCTTTTTATTTTATTAAACAGTTTCAAGCTTTCGCGCATCTCTGCCCTTCTACATACATAACGAATAAAACGTCGCCTGCTACCAAAATTCGTTATTTATGTTCTCCTGTAGAAGGGCAGAGATGCCCGAAAGCTTGAGTCTGTTTAAAAAATAAAATAAAGTTTCCAGAAACCATTTTAATTATACAATATATATGAATGGCTTTTCTTGATTTATCAAGAAATTGGGTTGGCCAAATATCACGGAGCAAGCTAAATAAACGCTTAGTTTGAACATTTGAAATAAATTATTAGAGAGGTGTATAGCATTTAATAATATATTTTATATTATTTGGTAAAAGTTTCTACAAAGTTAATGTAGTTTTCATTTTAGTCGAAATATCTTTCACTCAAAGAGCTTACCCTAGATATTATTCAAAACGTATCTTAGCCATTATATTATAATCTTACAATTTATTTTAATAAAATGAAACTTTAAAGCATGCTATGCTTTCAATATTTAGAAATCTATTGTAATACAACACCCCCATTCAAATATATTATAGTTTCTCATTTTTTAAATCAATATATAGAAACACACTTTTATTCTTATAAAATAAACTTCCAAGCCAAGTTTCTTGTACCATTTTTCATTTCGAAACTTTCAGACTTGTCAGTCCTTCAATAGGAGTATCAGGTTAACAAATAAATGATAAATACTATTTTTATATACGAATTATTATTTAAAATATTTCAAATACTGATGATATTAAGAGATAGAAAATATATTACATTTTTTGTGTGTTTTTACATTTTTATTTAATTCATAAAAATAAAATCCGATACTAGATATTGATAAATTCTGCTTTAATTGCTATTTTTATTTTCTGTTTTATCAACCGAGAACCGGTTATCACGTATGCCAATATTTCAGCGTCAAAATTAATTTGCAATCTGTGCTAAAGCAAATATATTTTGTTATTATAATGAATTAGCGAGCCATCTCTTTTAAAAATTCGAAACTATTATAGTTGCGCATTATTATTTTAAAATTAAATATTACATTGCAGTAAGGGCAGTAGACATTTATTTTAGATTACATTTAGACATGTAATTTCAAAAGAATTATACGCGTCTATAATAGTTTCGAATTTTCATACTTTTTATATTTAATAATTCACTTAATTGACCATACACAAACAAGAAAGTCTCTTTTTATAAAATTCCATGTTGGTTAAACATTTATATAAAATATTATAATAAAAGATCCACATAACAATTATAAAAAACTGTTCAAATATTATATACTAAAAATGTATTCATTTAAATTGAAATTATGATAATTTCGGGAAATTTTGATTTTCTCAGGGCAAAAATACATTATTTCTTAAATGATTCCATTTCTTAACAGTATATTTGAGAATTTTGAAAACATACCAGAAAACCATGTGCTTTATCTCAGAGTTCAATAAATTTTGTAGAGATACAATGAATTCCTAATAAATAATTATATTTTAGAATAAATTTATAGTATGAATCAATTTCTATAAGATTCTCTCTTGGTATGAAATAAAATAGATAAATACTTTACGCATGTGAAAATAGTATAAATAGTATTTACTAAATACAATTGAAAACCTGTTTTTCGATAATAATTTTATATATAATATCAAATGATCAATAACATTATCTAATAGTTTTTATAGAAGAATATTTGAGTGTAATAAGTTATACATACAAGAATAAAGTTGATATCTCTACAGAACTATGCGAATATGTCTTCTTTAGATATTTACAGTGAGAGGCAGAGAAATTATTAAAAAAAAACAATGGTAAAATCAAATTGAAAAATATCTTAATTGAAATTTATTGAAATTGATTATATAAACATTTATAATAACCATATACTAGCCATATATAGCTATAACCTGTTGTTGATTATGATATTAGCCATATGTTTGTTAGAGGTATATATGATGAGTAGCATAAAGATTTGGATTTATCTATTACAATGTCTACATGAATAAATGTTTTACAATATACATAATGGATTATTTACAAATAAACGTCATACCATTTATTGAAAATAAATATATAAATAGAGCGAAGATAGAAATAATCAGCCATTGCTCCATTTGTTTGATTTTTATAAATGATTAAAGTATATAAACTGAATAATAAGATGAATAAAATTTAAAAATAATTATACCAAAAAATAATATATTTGTATAGTTAATATATATTTAATCTATTCGAAACAAAATTCTAAGAATTAATAAATATTTCGAGGAAAGAGAAAGAAATACTTAGATAAACACAAATAGAAAACCATGCTATTTTTCCATTAATATTAACTTGATCCTTTCAGCAAAATATTTTTGTTTTTACATATTTTGATAGGGCAGGGGATCTCATCTTCTAATAGGTTATTTGATAACTTAGCTTCGGCTTACCCGCATCACCGCTTGCTTGATGGGAAACCAATTTACTGTATTTAATGGCGTTATTTTGGCAAATCTAAGTTGATGTGCCTTCAAATTTTGCATTAGTGTTTACAATAATTACATGAAGTAATCTATTAAATACAAATTTTATTTTATTTTAACACACAAAACGCGAAATACCGGCTAATATTAATAAATAATAAAATTACACATAAAATAAAATACAAATATATTTAATCTACATATAAATATTTTTATGGAATGTAATAGTCATATTTTTAATAATTATTTTTGGCAATATGGTACTTTTCTTGTATGAATTATAATTTCTACAGACTTCACTACAAAGATAAAAGTTATTAAGGTAAATTCTGTAGAGATTATAATTGATATGGTAAAAGAAACATATTGCTAAAAAGTTTTAGTTGAATGCGAACTATTTATTTTTATAATATATATTAATAGGTATAATACACTGCAGACGGTGATTGCAAAACGACACTTGAAGTTACACCGCATGAGTTTCTTTTCAAAGAAAAATCAAAATTTTATTTCAAGGTGAAATATTGACTATTTCTAACCTTTTTGGATGAGGTATGAAAGGGTGAATTATGAAGAGTGATGATGAACGAAAAAATAAAAGTGTCCAGGGATGGGAATCGAACCCACAATGTTCCGCTTACCGGGCAGATGCCACTAGTACTAGGCTACCCTGGACGTATTTTTCCGTTCGTAAATGATACATAAAGTAACTTCCCGAACTACAGAAATCGGTAAAACATTGAATACAATGATTTTTTTATGTTTATAAATAGTAAGAACTCAATTTTTAAATTTACTCTCTTTGTTAAATAAACCGTAATTTTTATTTTTCCGTTCATCATTACTCTTCATAATTCACCCTTTCATACCTCATCCAAAAAGGTTAGAAATAGTCAATATTTCACCTTGAAATATAATTTTGATTTTTCATTGAAAAGAAACTCATGCGGTGTAACTTCAAGTGTCATATTAATATGTGTTTGTGGATCGTCTTTATATAATAATTCTCAAAATAATCTAAAGTAAACAAATATGGGGCAATTCAGTAAATAGGTTGTATACCGGTTTTGATATTTTATTTATGCTCGATATTGTAGAATATCGCAATTCTAGCATAATATTTATAAATTTTAAAGAATATTTTAAATCTCATTATATTTGTTTCATAACTCTACTAAATTTTATATTATAAATCAATTATTAATTACTTTAAAAATAAAGGCATCCCAAATTATTTTTGCTCTGACTTTTACAGCGTGCAACTCGTTACTAATCTTGGAAACTTCTGTTTCGAATAGGAGTTATAGACCATCCAGGGTGTTTATGTGGAAAGAGAAAGCAGGATTCCAGTCACTCGCTTATGAATGTCCAATCTTTCCGAACTACAGAAATCGGAAAAAACATTGAATACAAGGATCTTTTTATGTTTATAAATAGTAAGAACTCAATTTTTAAATTTATAAAATTATGTAAATATATCTATGATTTTCACTCTTTGTTGAAAAAACCGTAATTGTCAAACAAGGTATATTTATTTGTGTTTATTTCATTAGTTGTTTGTGAATTCGAGCATGATTCTAATGTCCTTTCCTTTCTTTTCTCTTAAATTCTACTCAAACCGTGTAATTATTCAATTGTTTATGTAATATAGTATCTAAATTTAAAAATGTTTCTTGACGCAAACATCCCTTGTGGGAATATCGCGTCTTATTTGATAATAAATAAATATATATGTGATAATTTGTATATAGCAATATGTAACCCCACCACAATCTATGCAATGTATAGTCAAAAGATTTAATAAAAGTTAGGCTTCGAGAAAATGGAATAACAATTAACAGGATTGCATCATCCAGGAAGTAAAGGTCACTGCCCAGGACCCATAAAACTGAAGTTCAAAGACCTTCTTCTTCCTGGAAGATTGCAATCATGGCGACAATGGAGGTACTAAGCCAATCACAGTTAAGCATAACAAATCTACAACCAATCACCTTTAAGCATGACCAACTAATAGCGAATCAGAAGAAAACACGTGGAAGAATCTCCACCAATGAGAAGTCGAGAGAGTTAATGACGATGATCTCGGACAAGAAGTTAGAGAGAAGGTAGGTGACCGGGCTAGAAGCAAGGTGTGCTCAACTTAGGCTCCAACCAAGGTAGTGTCCTCTCGATCATGTGAAAGGCAAAGTGCCTCCTCCAGTCTCATCACTCTCTCCCTTTCGCAAAGTCTATTTTCTATCTTATCCAGGTGCTCGTTATTCCCCAGTGGAAACCGACCATTCGACCAAGACTGCGCCATCAATCACCAATTCAACATAATTTGACATAGGATTCACCACAATTCGCCAGGACTCTACAGGATTGTTATAGAGAGTCAATAGCAATCCGACATGGTAAACACCAATCTCACACTAAGTCGACAAGAATCAACAGGATCCCACAGTAAGTCGACAGGATTCAAATAGGATCAATTGCATTATCACATAGAGTCAACCCTAATATTATAGAGAGTCAACAGGATCAACCCGAATATTATATATATATATAACACATAGACTTATATACTCACGATATTCAGTTGATTCGAACGTTTTTATTGAATATATTAGCGAATATTAATTATATATGTGCCTTCAAAGATTCTATTTATATTATACAGGATAAGGCTAGAACAAACAAAAAATAACTTAATTAATTTTTTTCTGAAAGTAAAATTTAAATACTTCGCAACTTTTCTTTGGATATCAAAGACAAAAAATGCTCTAACCTTCATGAATAAACAATATAAGAAACGTGAAAAAAAGTACAAATGTGAATTGTACTGGGATAAGGTGGATAAATTAAGAAACGGTTTGTGATTTGGTTTAAACAAACCATATAATACTTTCTGTGCAAGTGATAATTATATATTTGTTATTTTTCAACTTTTAATTTATATTATACATCTAATGTATTGCGCATTATTTATTTTTCTTATAGTATTGAATGAATTCCCATATTATTCAACTTATTTCCCCCCTTACATATATGATTGACATCTTTAACATCGCCGTTTTCCCTAATATATTTGAAGTCATATCTATATATATAATTGCCTTATTCTGTCTGAAGCTCACGGATAGAATGCGCGCCCATTGGCTGCCGGCGAACATGTGTCCTCCCTGCCCCCCTCTAGACAACCCTGTTATCAGCTGTGTGATACATACACCTGTCTATAGCGGCCATTCTAGAAAACCCTGTTATCAGCAGTGTGTTACATCCACCTGTCTATACAGACCACCCTGTCTATAGCGACCACTGACCACCCTGCCTATAGCGACCACTCTAGATAACCCTGTTGTCAGCTGTGTGATACATACACCTGTCTATAGCGGCCACTCTAGACAACCCTGTTATCAGCTGTGTGATACATCCACCTGTCTATAGCGGTCACTTTAGGCAACCCTGTTATCATCAGTGTGTTACATTCACCTGTCTATACAGACCACCCTATCTATAGCGACCACCCAAGACAACGTTTTTAAAATATATTCGCACTCGGGTAAAACCCGGGCGTTGCCCGGGCCATTCGTCTAGTCTTATTAGAAGATGTTCAGAGTAAAAATGAATGGTTTGAAAAAACAATTCTGAAACTGATTAGGTTTATTGCTTATCGATCTAGACCGCCTGCTGCTACATGCATGGCGCCCGCAGCTCCCTTTGACCCAACATCACGTCCATTCACCACGTTGCTGGGCTAGAGCCACGTGAACGAAAGAATTGACATGGTCGTTTTTCCGAAATAGATTTTCATCCTTTTTCAGCGATGCCAGTCATAGATGTACGCTTCTGTAACATGTACCTTCAGGCTCATCTGCGCGACCACACAGCATCACGGACTGTAGAACCATTACGTAAAATATCAGGCCAGTATTGAAGACACTCTGACAATTTGAGAAAGAATGAGTGTGGTTGACGATTCTATATTATCTTCAGAAATTATTTTATGAGCAGGTAGGTTTATACAACCGCACCAATTACCCATTAACGATGTTATAAAAGTTTAGCTATGCTTTCAAATCTACCAGCTTCATCTAATATATTTGATCAATCCTACAAATCTGAGACGTGATTTAATATCGTTTGGTTTAGCTGCTCTTGCCATGGTTGAGACGAAATATAGCAATTGGTTGATAGTCTTGGATCAGGACTCCACGATCTACAAGGCCCGTACGTTGACAAATGGTGAACAGTCTTGGATTAGGACTACACGGTTTACAAGGCCGTATATCGACAAATGATGAAAACTCTTGAATCAAGACTAGATGGTCTACAAGGCCCGCATTTCGATAAATGGTTGAAACGTTTGGATCAGTACCAAATGGTCTACAAGACCCGTACGTCGACAAATGGTTGTGACTCTTGAATCAGGACTATACGGTCTACAAGGCCCGTACGTCGACAATGGTTGTGACTCTTGAATCAGGACTATACGGTCTACAAGGCCCGTACGTCGACAAATGGTTGTGACTCTTGAATCAGGACTACACTGTCTTCAAGGCCCGTACGTCGACAAATGGTTGTGAATCTTTAATCAGGACTACGCTGTCTACAAGGCCCGCATTTTAACAAATGGTTGACACTTTTAGAGCAGGACTAGATGAAATACATTGCCCGTTCTTCGACAAATGGTTGTGACTCTTAGATCAGTACTATATGGTCTAAAAGACCCGTTTGTCGACAAATGGACGAGTCATTTACACATACGGTACACTACATGTGCAGCCTATGACCTAGAGCAGCCAAGCCAGAGAGAAATAAAACTCAAGCTCTATCCTAATATGAAAGAATGTACTCCCACTTACTCTTGAAGTTTTGAACGGCTTCTATATGTTTATGAGCATTATATTAGATCAATGACGAATAGAAGCTAGGAAATAAAAACCAATGCATCAGATCATAAAGAAAATTCTAAATAAATGGACCAACTGATTCTCGGTAGATTCTCCCCTTCAGACCATGGCTATAGATCGATCGAGCTAGAAGATCCTGGTTGAGGAGGCCCGCATAGCACTTTTATAATTGCTTCACCAGAAATATAATTAAAACTTTTATAATTATATGAAATGCATAACATATTGCGTAATTGCAATAAGATCAAACCAATCTTGAATGGACATCACATCTTGGATTTTGTGACGTTATTTAAGATTTGCCATATCGACTTAATTCACGTTTGCCACTGTGTAACTTCACAAATAATCTTTCTCCTCATTATTGTTTCTGATTATATTCTCGTAAACACATGCTTGTGAGAGTTTCGTATCGTAAAAAACTAAATTTTAATGTTAAATTCTATTTCAGAATAAATTCAATATTAATTTTGATATTTGTAATTCTCTCTCCATTTTAATAATATTAAATTACTTACAGAATAAATATTTGCATATGTTGCAATTTCTTAATTCAAATAAGTATCTAAAGTATATATTATTTAGATTGTATCTGATCTCTTTATAAAAAGTATAAGAATATTACATATTCTAAAATTTTATTTGTGTGATGTGTGTGTAATATAATCTGTTGTTTATATTACAAATTTCCTTCAATATTTGGCTATAATTTTACTTGATAAATCTCCTTTTCTATATATTATTATAATTTTATCTTTGGTTAAAATATTGCTGAACATATGA